TTTGGTAATGTAAAGGTAGCAAAAAGAAATCAACCTGGAAAACATTAAAAATGGTTTCCTCTGAGGTCCTATTTCTGAGATTTTAGAATAGGGGTAGGATCAACTATTTTCTTTTTAAATCCTGTGGCATCATTTTTTAAATTATGCATATATATTTTGATAATATTTAATTTAAAAATGTAAGATTTCAATTCCTGATTATTTTGAGCTCAACTGGCAATATATCTTTGTATAAAATAATCTCCAATAGTGAAATCTTCTAAATCTTTCATTGTCCAGCCAAAATTCTAAAATAAGAATACTATGGGAAGATCGTGTAAGATGACTTCATCTGACACAAATACATATGATGTTTCTAGGCAGGAATTGACAATTGTTGGTGAAAGATGGGATGTCATTGAACCAGGGAGGGGATAGAGCTGTCTTTTTCACTGACAAAAGCAGTGTCTAGTATGAAAGTATTGTTAGTGAAAGAACAAAACTGAAAATATAGTTTCAAGATTAGAGGACAAAGAATGAGATTGGGAGTATTCAAAATTTTTTTCCTAGACTCATCATTCACTTATTTTATGATTCTGAACAAAGTGCTTAACCTTTCTATCTCATTGCAAAAAAATTATTATCTGTACAATGAGAGAAATACTCCTCCTTCCTTTGATTTATAATTTGTTTTTTCCCAGTTCTTATTTTTAAATATTTTTATTATTCATGTTTGCATGCATATGCATACATATATACCTACCTCTATGTGTATATCCAAATGTAAAATGTAAAAAAATTGTCAAATGTGAAAAAGTTAAATTTTATTGTCATACTGTAATAAATCTCCTTCCAAATGTGCCCAGTGATAAGAAAAATTTACTCTACTTCTGACTCTGCAAGGATCCTGTTTTCTGAGTTGTAAATAAAAATTGAAAATCCATGACTAATAAACAGGAATTAGGCAGCAACCTATTGGTCTTGGATATTAAAGTGTTGCTTATAGAACAATTTGCAATGACCTCAACTCTAACTGCTATCAGTTTAAGTGAATTCCTTGTTGACTATGAAGAGAAAGAAACAAACAAATGTGCCTATGCTCAGTGAGAAGCTACAAAACCTGTTCCTGCAGAGAACCCAGAAATTGAATCTTCCAGAAGCTCTTTTCAAGTTTTAATGAGCCACCTGCCTCCTGCTATAAAACCCAAAGAGAAAGGAAAGGAAATATGCTGAACAGCAAGAGGTAATTTCTAGCATTGTGAAGCAAAATCTCTATGGTGAAGTAATCTTTTATATAATGCCACCAGCCTTCTTGGGAACATGAAGTTAGGTCTTGGGTTAATTGATATTCCATTTCTGTTTCAAATGTTATCACTTACTTTTTGTATCTTCAAGTTTAACAGATAAAAAGAGAACATATAAACTTTACTTTGTGACGCAGTCATTAAATATTTACTAAATTCTATCACCATAGGTGACAGAACAAAACCAAGTTTATAAAGGAGTCAGTTGAGATGGGGAAGGGCTCATCAATCAGAAGAAACTATCATTATTGATCATTTAAAAGATAATACTGAAATATACTATCTACTTTATAAACATATATATTGTAAATTTTGACTTCATTTGTTTTCCTATACCTAAGACCCATTTTCTGCCCAGAGTATGATAGGTCCTTCAAAAAGAGGAAAACATAAAGCACAATGTCCATGCCCTAACATGAAGAGTAACTTCTTATTGTTTTCCAGAAAAAGGATACAATGATCTTGTGCTATCACTAAGACATTTTTACATTTCTTAGCTTATTGATTTTCTTCATACTCAGCATGATAGTAAAATATGTTTCTCATATATTATAAAATCAAGGTGAATCAAAGACCTAAACATTTTTGAAAACAGAAATTATCTGCTAGAAGGTAAAATAGGTAAATCTCTTGAAGACTTAGGCATAGACAAAGATTTTGTATCCAACTGCAAAAGGAATAACATCAAGAATCAATAAATGGGATATTACAAATTAAAAATCTTCTGCAAAGCAAAGGAAACAACCAATAGAATGAAGAGATAACCTATAGTATGTGAAAAAATGTTGCCAGCTATACCTCAGACAGTGGATTAATATCTAGAATATATAAAGAACTCAAAAAATTATGTAAAAGGAAAATCTAAAAGACAGTGTAGTTAGTTAGCTTATAGATTGGCAGTTAGTCAGTAATGAATAGGCCTAAAATAAATACAAAGAAAATAGCATATAAACTGAGTTAAGATCTAATTCAACCCAGGCAGCTGGTTAGTTAAGCATAGAAGTGTAAAAACAAACAGAAAAATGATAAAACATTAGTATAAGAGTAGATAGATAAGAACCCTTTCTCTCAGGAAAGAAACTTTTTAGGAAGAATATGGTAAGTCCCTTGACAGCTCCTCCCTATCTCCAGGTCTAACTTGCAGAAATATTAGCAATCCAAAATAACTGGTTTCTTTTGAACTTATTTCCTTTAAACTCAGCCAGCTGAGTAACTGTTTTTTTTTTTTAAACTTTACATTACAAAGCTTCCACTCTTTTTATCAATATAAGATCGAAACAAAGATAAAGAACTAAGAACTCCACTCTTGGATTCCCCTATGCAAAACCTGGAACCATTTTCTTCTTATATTTCTAATAAATACTTTCCCATTAACCTCCTTATTGTCCAAGATTTCATTCTTTAGCTTTGTGAGAAAACAAGATTAGATTTACATGTTTTGTAAAAGCCTTTTCAATTAGACCACTAAAGATAAAAGGCCCAAGTGAAAAATGAACAACTGAAATGAACAAACACTTCTCAGAAGAAGTACAAATGGTCACTAAGTACATGAAGAAATGTTCAGAATCTTTGGCAATTAGAGAAGTGCAGATAAAAACAACTCTGAGATTCTTTCTCCACAAAGAATGGCTATTATCAAGAAGTCAAAAAAATGTTGGCAGAGTTGTGAGGGAAAAGGAACTTGTCTTATTTATTTGCTTGTCCTGATATACAATACTCAACACTCATGACTTTAAGGAGAAAAGGCTTATTTTGGCTCACAGTTTGCAGAGGTTTCAGTCCATAGTAAGCTAAATCTAAGGTAAGGTGGCATGGCAGAGGGGCCTAACAGAGGAGGTTTGCTCATGCCATGGCAGTGAAGCACAGAGGGATAAGTGGAGGAGGGAAGAAGACAAACTCTTCCATACTGTGCTCCTGGTGATCCACCTCCTCCAACCAGATTTCACCTCCAAGGTCACATTTAGCTATGAACTCATCAGTGGACCAATCTACTGATGAGTATCACACACCAATGATCTAATTGCCTCTTAAAAGCCCCGCCTATGAGCACATGAAGCTTTGAGGGTACATCTAGACATAAACCATAACAGACCCCTTCTGTTTTGTTGGTGAGAATGCAAAGTTGTCCAACCTGTCTGGAAATCAGTATTAAAAATTCTCAAAAGAACTAAAAGTAGAAATTTCACTTGACTTGCTGTAGCCTTTTTGAGTATCTTCACAAAATACTTGGATACATCATATAGTGATGCATGCATACCCATGTTAATAGAAGTATTACTCACAGTAGCTAAATCTTGGAAATGCCATATATGTCCATCAATAGATGAGTAAAAGAAAATGTGGTATCTATACACAATGGAGTGCTACTTGGTTATAAAGAAGGATATATTTGAGTCACTAGTAGGAAAATGATGTGAACACCGTGCTAAGTGAAATAAATCAAACACAGAAGGTTAAGTATTGCATGGTTTCTCATATATTAGAAACTCAGAGTATAAATAGTTTAAAGAGCAAATTAAAGATAGAAGAAACAAGAAGGTAGACCATTGGAGATGGGTTTAGAGATGCTATTAAGGATTTTAATCCTTTGTTAAAGTCAGCTTCCTTTAATTGGAGGGCTGCTGGAAGTTTTAACCCTTTGTTACCAATGGACAGTGTCTTAGTTACTTTCTTGTTGCTGGGGCAAAATACTCAACGTCCACAAGTTAAAAGATAAAAGGTTTATTTTAGTTCATAGTTTATAGAGGTTTCAGTCCATAGGCAGCTGAATTGAAGGCAAGGCTGCATGTCAGAGTGTCATGGCAAAGCCCCTTCTCTAGAGGAAGCAGCAAGACTTCCTTCCTTATTTTCTTCCCTTTTTATTCCATCCAGGCTGTAAGGCTATTGGTTGTTGGAACCCATACACAGAGTGAGTCTCTTCAGTAAGTCCATCATCCAATCAGTAGACTAATCCAGTATCATGCACTCATGATCCTGTCACCACCATAAAGCCCTCTCTATGAGCACATGAAGCTTTGGGGGACATCTAGTTATAAGTCATAACATTCTGCCTCTGGCCCCCAGGAGACTCATGTGCATCCCTTTATGAAAAATGTATTTAGTTTATATGTAAGAGTTGCCAAATTTCCAACAGTTTCAGCATTGCTGAAAAGTCCAAGTCCAGATTTTCCTCTGAAATTTAAAGCAAACTCTTAGTGATAAGCCCATGTAAATATAAAAAGAAAGTTAACTGCTTCCAACATACAATGGCACAAGAAAGACATTCCATCTCAAAAAGTACAAATAGGGCAACAGAAAGGAATTGAATCAAAATAAAACCAAAATCCAGCAGAGCAAACGCTAAATCTTGTTGCTCCATGTTCAGCATCTGGTGCAATCTGGGGCAAGATGTGAACTCTAAATGGCCTGGATGACCCCACCTCTTTGGCACTGCCAGTGTTTGTATCTCTCATTCCCTTTCTCTTAGGCCCAACTCTCTTCATTCCTTGTGGTTTCCTGAGATTATCCATGTTCCTGGATTCTCCAACTTTCTGGGAGCTTCGCTGCACTTTCAGCTTCACACTCACAGATTTACACACTGCCATCTGAGGAGCACATTGCCTGGCCTCCCAGACCTTCTTCTGAAATCTGGATGGAATCCTTGATGACCTCACAATTCTTGCATTCTACATGTACCCAAAACCAGCACCATGTAAATCATCCCAAAGTCTACGGCCAGCTGGAGCAGTAAACACATTTCATTCTCTCTTGGCAATAGGAGTATGTGCTTCAGGAATTGTTGAGCTCTAGGGACCCAATCCCCAGAAACAAATTCCCAAGCCTCAACCATTCTGGATCATAGTGCCTTGGAGGCTGTCTTCTGGAAGCCAAGTCTTTCACCTTTGCAACTTTGAGGCTACAAAAGGTACAGTCCTGCTGGTTCTTGTAATTCCCTCAGCCCATCCTTTCTATTGTTCTTTTCCAAAGAACTTGAATTGTTAATGCTAATATTTCCAATAATCAAGCTCTCCTCTACCTTTGTAGGCCACAACTTTGCCAGACCTTCCTTTCTGGCCCAAACACAAAACTATTTAGATCATTCTGCTGGGTTATTTGCTCTCAAAGTAGAGCTGGGTAACAGCCCCCAACAGTAGCTATGCCACTGCCTCAACATTAGACTGCCTCGAAATATCTTCTGCCAATTATTTAGTTCACTGCTGTTAATCTTAGACTCCTTCAGTGTCTCTGGATAGGAGCAAAATCTCTACAAATTTTCTGCCAAAGCATAGCACACATGGCTTGGAGTCCAACTGCCAATGCAGTCCTTATTCCCAAGTGAAACCTTCTGAGCCTGGTCTTTATCATCTGCATTTCTATACCTTTGTAGTCTTCTGAGTTCCAACCAGAATCTGTCATCATGCATGGCTTACAGTATTTTAGGGCTGATTCTTCAGCTGGCATCTCCGAATCTTTCCAAACTTTTCCTGTAAGCCAGTTCCAAAGGCTTCTTGAACCACATGATGAGGTAACATCATAGCAATGACCCCACTGTCAGTACTAAAATCCATATTAGTTTCTTGTTGCTGGAACAAAATACCCAACACCCACAAGTGAAAGGAAGTTTATTTTAGCTCACAATTTGTGTAGGTTTCAGTCCTTAGTCACCTGGCTCCAAGGAAACGTGGGATGGAAGAGGAGAAACAGTCCATGGAGTGGCAGTCATGAAACAGCAAGACTTCCTTCTTCTTTCTCTTTTTATTCCATATAGGCTCCATGCCTATTTGTTGATGCCACCCACATACAGAGTAAGTCTTCTCTCTTCAGCAAGTCCTTCATCTACACTGAAACTATGCTAAATCAATCTGTGGTCTTATCCAGTAGCACATACCCATGATCTGGAATCACACACCCATGATCCAGTTACCTCCCAAAAGCCCCACCTATGAGCACATGACACTTTGCAGGACATGACATACAGTAACTACAATGTATATATTTAATTCTGATAACATATAATCATGAAATTTCCTAGGAAAAGAGTGAAGAGAGAAGATAAGAAAGAAAGCAAGGGAAAGGAAGGGCAGAAATGAGAAGGTATGGAGCAAGAGAAGCTTCAAAACAATGCGTATAATGAAGAAGAGCTCTATGACTGTCAAGTGACAATTATATAGATAGACATTATTATAAAAGTTATTTTCTAACAGATCTAAGTTATGAAAAATAAATTATAAATAGTTCATCCACAGGAAACTACAAAATTGGAAATGCTTCTCTTTAAGAAATAGTGTTTTTTTGTCTTAAAAAAGTTTGAACTAATCAGAAGTCTGTTACAAGGGTGAACATGAGTAAATTAATGAAATCCTAACTATAATACAGGAAGATTGTTTTAAATGTCATTTACCAAAAGTGAACTTTCTATAAAAATTACTGAACTGTAAAGGTGTATATACTCATTTACAAAGCATAACTTTCCTATATATTATGTTAAGTTTGAATCATAAACTGTTCGTGACAATACAATCTTAGATCTCTCTCATAGTTTGATATACTTTTTTTACAGATAGGTAAATATTTCATTTATATTATTGGAATTAAAGAATTGATGATATTATGAATTAAATTCTCTAAAATGAAGATAAATAATGATACCTTAGTATACAGTTTTCATCATTTTATTTTGTATATGTGTAGAAGTCAGCTGTTGAAAATGTAAGATAGGTGGAATGGGGAAGATATCTTCAAGGACTTTATAGATTACAAAGTAAATCATTTGGTAAATGTGGTACTTTCATTAGTAAATTCCAGACATCATTGTTTGGTAACAGACACATATATGACATGACAGAGAGGTACATGAATTGAGGTACATGAATATTTTTTATGACCAAAGTACATGAATTAAGAGGGCTATATATTTTAAATATACCTTGGGTTCTGGCTCCTCCATTTCATTTGTTTAAACTAAGCTTGATCACCACTGTTCTGCTTTTTATGCTCCTTTATGACAAAGTTAATTTGTTATAAAAAGTATAGAATTAATATCCTTGAGTCAATTGTCTATAGAGGCTTCATCCAAGTATTACAGATAGCTAAATTAGGTAGAGATTGATAGACAGTTGGAAAGGAACCAGGCCCAAGATCGAGTCAGAACTGTGGTGGGGGGGCTGAGTTGATAGCAACTAGGTCCAAGATGGAGACATGACTGCTAGGCCTGCAAACCTCCCCAGAAATCAACAAGATCTCAAAGCTGTAACTATACAATTTGGCCCAATAAGCCTAAACGATGTAACAAACATAGAAACAACATAATGAACACATAGTTAGATGACCAGAGTATTCTGACCCTCACTCCTACCCCTTCCAGAAATGCCTTTGTTTTTCTCAATGCTATGTACCCTTGCTATACACCTTGTTTTTCTATTAAACCAATATTGGCTAAATAACTATACTTGTAATCCTATAGGTTGGTTATAGTTTGACTCAAGATAATCTCTGATGTGATTTTACTGCATAAAATCCCGGTAGACAAACAGAATCAGTGGTTTTCTCTTAATAAAACTTTCCTACTCTTAACTTCCTTTGTCCTTGATTCCATTCTTCGGCATTCTGAAACAGGAACTTGGCACATCTAGTAGGTTGGGAGTTACTTCCCTGTAACACAAGGACATGCATGGTGTGTACAGAATAAATTAAAAGGTAGGACACATGATGAGGAAACTGTGGTATTTCCTCAGCTGCACAAGCAAAATGAGGCTAAATAAGAACATTAGAACAAAATATTTAAGAGATACTGCAATGAATTTCTACCTCCTCATTTCTACCAGCTTATTTTTGTAACTGAAGTCTCAGAAAGGTAGTCTTGCTAAAGTCACCAGGCTGGTTACTGGCAAAATCAACTTGGGATTCATTCCTTATGTGTGTGCACATGTGGGGGGCATCTTAGGGTTGGTATAAGTAAGGGGATGCTTAAGTAAAGAAATACATGGAAACAAAGGGGCACAATTTTCAATTTAAAAAATAAAGAAAATTCAAATACTACTATTGTCTCAATGCATCTGGTCTTTTGATTTTAAACTTATTACTATTACAACTGAATTTCAGTCCTCACAGAGTAACAGTATAATGAAAACAGTATCCACATCTGTGGATTTATATAGTCCTGTCCCACCATTAGAATTTTAAACTGTGTCAGGTAAAACACACACTCTTTCTCTTCCTCTCTCCCCCTGCCCCCAACAGTGTAGTGGAATAACCCAAATTTTCTTAAAACAAAGAACAAAGTCTGAACTTTCTTCCTTTTTTCTGTTCTAATATGCTTTTTTCTTTTGGTGCAGGAGAGCTCAGCAGAGAGAGAGTCATCATCTTTATGCCACATTGTGAATTTGCATATGGAAAAAGGAATTTGGGGCAGGAGACAAACAGCAGGAACAAACAAGCTATTAGCACAGAGGAATCCCATTTTCAGGCAAAGGACCTTGCTAATGAAAAAGACACTGGAATGCCAACAATAACTTAAATAGAATCCTCCAAAAATCCACTCTAAATTTGACTTTTTATATAAAGACTTCTTTGCATTTTTTCCTAACCTATTAAAACATCTTAATGAATATTATATTGAGATGGAAAGAGACCATTACTTTGTGTGGAGAATTTGCATTAATAGCCAAAAAGGTATTGGTCTCTTGCTCCTTAGCAACTAAAAGAAAATTCTGGTATTTTTTTTCTTACAGCTTTAAGATGACCTTGTTCCTTTTCTGTCTAATTTATAGCCCCATAGGAAGGAGAGTCCAAATAAATTGTAATGAAAGTACTACTTTATAAATGCACATGTTGTCAAACTAACAAGCAGAAAAAGTCAAGCTCCCCTTATTCTGTAGACTGTTGTTAATGGAGCAATATTAGGTTTGGAGTATTACCCTCTTCCAACAAAACTATAACATTTACAGAATGCTTCCAATGTGCCAGGTATGGTACTAAACGCAATACATAAATATACAATTCATGACAACCTAAAGAGATCAATGCTAATATTATTCTCATTCTCCTTATGAGAAAACAGAGTCACACAGAGAGATTAAATCACCTGTAATGGCCATATGGCTACTAAGTGGCAGAAAGAGTATTAAAATTGAGATCATTTGACTGTTCTTCATGTACAAGCTACATAGCTTCTCCTACTTAAATAAATGTGGGCTCTGTTGTCCAAGTTGGCATGTGCTTCAAGGTCACTATGCCTTAGAGATCAGTACAGACCTTAGTAGTTTATAAATTCTCAAGATTGTGAAGTATGTAAATTCTTAAATTTTGAGTAATAGTATTCAAATATCCTCTAGAAATCTTATATTCCAAAGCTCCATTTTACAGCTGATGATCCTGAGAAGGTAGCATCCTGAGAAAGTACTTTGACTAAAAGTAAAAGTAGTAAAGAGAACTAGAGTTTGCTCTTAGGTTTCCTAAATGTTTTTCAGTCTTCCTTCTCTTTGCATTGAATCTTAGAGCACTGCAAGAGAGTGTTCAAGCATTCACATGTTAGGTGAATATGAAGTATAAATCCTGTGTTTGAAGAACTCATTAGTACTGACACAAATAATTTCAATAAATGTTAGGTACTATATATTAGTACCTAATATACTACATGCCAGGCACTATATAATAGGCAATAGATTAAGTACTTTTACACATAATCTTTAATTTATCATTAATATTCTTATTTTAAAAGTGAGAAATCTGTGACTTAACTGATACAGGATAGTTTTTGATCTGCTTCAATTCAGACAGCAACTCTTTCTTTGCTCAGCAACCTACTGAGATCAATTAACCTGCTATGATCACTGTACTGCCACTGAGATCCCTCTTTAAGATGAAGGTTGTGGGCCAGGGATTTAGCTTAATGGCATCATGCCAGCCTTGCAAGCTCAAGGTCCTCAGTTTGATCTCCAGTATGCAGAAAAAAAAGATGGAAAATCTTACTCCCCAGCTTCTGCCCTCTGAGCATTACCAAATTTGAAGCTTTTTGCCCAAGGTCACACCCTTCCCTAGTGCAAATCATTTTCAAAGAATGCTTGGGAAAATTTTCAGTGGCTATCTTAGTCTCCAACTTTCCTGCTGGATGATGTTTGCTGAAGTTAAATTGTGATTGCATGACAATCCAACTTCCACCTTTTCCAACCTTGATTCCTTCACTTTTCTTGACAGAATCCCAGAAGCCCTCTCTGGCAAGCTTTATGGACATTCAACTCCTGCTCAGAATCTGCTTTTAGAGGAACTTGACATGTGACATTTAACTATATATTCCTTTGGAATTCATCTTTTCCAAGAAATAAGATCCATATGACTTATACATGTAGTTAAACACAAATATCAATATATATTTATAAATACAAATATATATATGAGAGAGGGAGAATTATCATTTATCTCTCTCTCTGTCTCTCTGTCTCTGTCTCTCTGTCTCTCTCTGTCTCTGATTACCCAGAGGCTAATGATCTGAGCATCATCCCTTGGGATAGAGAGGCTTGACAGTCATATTTCATGTTCCTTGTTCCTAGATGACATTGCTGCATCCCATGTTTGAATACTTCAACATTCATTTGAGTGGAAATTATGAAACCCAGTTCAGTTTCTAGTGTGATATTATCTGCATTACTTTCTGGGCTGTTATCATGACATGTCACAAACTACATGTGCTAAAAACATCAGAAATTTCTTGTCTCACAGCTCTAGAGCCCTGAAGTCTGAAACCAAGGAGTAATGTCAGCCATTCTCCCTCTGAAGTCTCTAGGATGGAACTGTGGCAGCTTCAGTGGCTCTACAAGTTTTTCGGTTTGAGGCAGTAGAATTCCAGTCTCTGACTCCATTTTCATATGATCTTTGCATCTTTGTATATATTTTTTGTGTTCTTGACTCTTTTGGGTGGCGAGTGGTTGGGGCACTAGGGATTGAACCTATGGCACACTAAATTATATCTGCAGGCCTTTTTTAAAAAAAATTTTGAGCTAAGCTACTCAGGCTGTGCTTGAACTTGTTATCTTTCTGCCTCAGCTTCCCAGACAGCTGAGGTTACAGATGTGTGCCGCCAGGCCTGGCCCTCTCCTTATCTAATAGACCATCAGTTATTGGATTTACGTTGTACTCTAAATCCAAGATGATTTCCTCCTGGTATTCTTAACTAATAATGTCTGTAAAGATCTGATTCCTAAATAAGGTCACATTCTATGGTTCTGGGTAAACCTGAATTTTGGGGACACTATTTAATTTGCTACATGAGAAAGTAAGTTATTCCAGAGAGTGGCCTGTCCACTGCCACTCCACTCTATTTTAGCAATTCCACCACTCTCAAGCCTCCTTTATGTTTTTCCATTGGGAATATATTTTGTTTCCTACTAGATCCTCTCCTCCTAAACTGTTGTATAAGACTTTGAGATTTCCCTCTCATTAATTTATGTATAGGCAGTCCTCATTTTAAAATGGTTCAATTTATGGTTTTTAAAAATTTTTGCAATGGTGCAAAAGTGATCCATATTCATTACAAATTGTACTTTGAATTTTAATCTTTTCCAGGGCTAGCACTCTGTGGTAAAGTGCTCCCTCTTATTGCTGGGCAACAGCAGAGTGCCACAGCTATAATCAGTGAAATCACAATTACAACAGTAAGCCACCTGAAGTGTATTGGGATGCCAATATTTTTAAGATATTGAGATTTGTGATTTGAGATTCCATAATTTTTTCTATAAATTGAATAATATATTTAATGCTATGTTATAAACTAGAACTTGTGTTAGATGATTATGTCCTGCTGTAGGCTAATGTAAATGTTCTGAGCATTTTTCAGGTAGGCAAGGCTGAGCTATGATGTTTGGTAGGTTAAAGTATATTAAATGCATTTTGGCCTCTGAAATTTTCAGTTTTTATGGGCTTATCAGGCGGTAATACCATAATAAATTAGGAGCCATTTGTAATCCTGCAACTCAATTCATAGGAGTGAAAAGTCTGGGTTCTATGAAGAAGTAGCTTGCACTCTTGGAGCTCAAAAGTTTGAAATGCGTAGATACTCTGGTAGGCTGGGAGCTCTCATGTGGGAGTTGTTGCTGTGGCCCACAGTCAAGATTTCTTCTTCCTTAGGGAAACCTGATTTTCGCTTTTGAGGCCTTTTACTGGTTGGATGAGACCTACCTGTTTAATCAAGGGTATATTTCCTTCCTTAAAGTCAATTGATTATAAATTTTAACCCCATGTACAAAGTTTCTTCACAGCAACAGTTACATTAGTGTTCGATTGAATAGTTGAGTATGATAGCCTAGCCAAGTTTGATCATAAAATCTAAGAGCCACAGGAAAATTATTGGATTACAGTCTTAACTATTTTATCTGACCTAGGAAGGCCCTTTTGGCAATGTTAGAAATTGAGTCCAAAAATTGCTTAGATTTTGATAGATTTGTAGGCCTTGTGTAGTAATTGATAATATTAGGTAAGAAGAAATATGTTCTACATGAAAATTTACTCACGTACTCAGTTTACAGACTAAATATTAGTCTTATTATGACTGGAAAGGATAAGCATAATCCAATAAGAGATTCAGCATTCTTTTGTAATAAATTTTCATTCTAAGACAATTTTCTTAGAGGTTATTAGGAATCTCCAGAGAGACAGCCAGAGAGAGAGAGAGAGAGAGAGAGAGAGAGAGAGAGAGAGAGAGAGAAAGACAGAGAGTCAGAGACAGAGGAATAGAGAAAAGGAGAGGAAGATGGAGAGGGAGAGAGATGAAAAGAACTGACTCATGTGATTAAAGCTGAGAAGTCTCAGGGTAGGGTGTATGCAAGCTGGAGACCCAGGGAAGCTAGTACAATGGCTAAGTTCAAGTTTGAAGTCTGCTATTACAAGTCCTGGAATCTGAAGGGTAAGGAATCTGAAATTCTTAGGTCCAAGGGCAAAAGATGTATGTTGTGGCTCCAGAAGAGACAGAACAAACTTTTCTTTCCCATTTCTTTTTACTCTGTTTAGCCTTCAGCCAGTTGGGTGGTCCCTGCTCACACTGGATGAGGACTGATCATCCTTGGTCCACAGATTCAAATGCATTGTCTTCTAGAAACACCCTCACAGACACACTCAGAAATCATATTTTACCAGATATCCAGCTATCCTTTAATCAAGTTAGTTGGTACCTAAAATTGAAAAATAAATGTCTGAGAAACAAAAGCATGAGAACATAATGACTTAGTTCCTCAATATTTTTAATGTGTATACTTTTTTATTTTACACTTTAAAAAATTTTGAAATACTTCAACAGGTTTGCACAAGAGAAACTTATTAACAAATTTCAGGCTACTGTAATGTATCGTTCATGGTCAGGCAGCTTTGTGAAGCAAATTGAAGTCGACTCTTGTCAGCTTGGACATTTTTTCTTAATTCTTATTTTTTGCTTATTGTTCCTTGTTAATCCCCATAATTCTGAAGCCTGACAGCAGTTACCTGAATAATCATATCAATTATTATCACAAGAAATATTGCTTACAATTTAATGTAATTACTCAGCAGTATAATTCTCTGTGAAGGCAGTGAGATTTTAAATGTTCAGCA